TGCCTTAATCTACACATGGCTCCTCAACTCGATGGTTTCATCAAATGCATCCTCAATAGATGACATTCGAAAGATGAGGGACATCTGACCAAAGCTCAAGAGGATTTTTGCTGTGACGAAGAACCACAAGAGGGTGTTTTCGATTCAATGTGAGATAAAAGTAGTGGTACAAGGTGATAGATCGATTCAGGAATATGCCATAGAACTAGAGCTGCACAGGACAGGTCTTTATCAAATCTCACCGATGTTTAGTTGTGATGACCCAGAGTGCAGGAAATGGGAGATCTTTACACAAAGGAGGACTATGCAATTTCTGGCCCATCTGAACTTAGCCTTTGATAAAGAAGATTAGTCCTACTAGCTCAGTTGGCTATCCCTTCATTTGATAAGGCCATTGCTACAATGATACAAGTGGAGAGTCACATGAAGTTACACTCTGAGCTGAGTGGGTTTCCAGGTGTTCGATTAACGTTGGTTGCCTTGAGCTCAGGTGTCTAGGGGGAAACTCGCAAGTGCTACAACTACGATGAAGTCGGGCATCTGAGCAAAACCTATTCTAGGTCACCTAAGGAGAGAGAGACCGGTGGAGGTGGACAAGGTGATGGACAAGGTAGAGGTCGTGGTCGTGGTCGTTGTCGTGGTGGTCGAAAGGGTAGAAAAGGCGGCTATTGGGTAATTTGATGATAGCAGAGGCGTAAAGACAGGTCTGGTTTTTTTTTTCCAATGAAAATCATGAGTGTCTAGAGTTGTAGAAGAGGAAGTAGAAAGCTGCAAAAGATGTGATTGAGGATTTTTCTAGCCGGTCATCATTAAGGGATAACATTGTCACTTTTGCTCACTCTAACAAAGGTACTTGTGCTACACATGTCTTAACTCTATTTCCATCACAGAATCATCATAATGGATAGTAGACCCTGGTACATCTCAACATGTGATATGTATTGCTAGAAAGTTTTCTTCTTATACACCCCTGACAGTAACATAGAACATCAGACTGCTAATGGTACAACACAACATGCAGTTGATAAGGGTACAGTGATGGGTACCAACTATATGACTTCGTATAATATTTTACATGCTCATTTTCCTGTGAAACTTTTATCCATTAGTGTCATTATTCTTCAGCTAAAATGTGTTGTTTCTTTTGATATCCCTAAGGTGATCTTCCAAGAGAAAAAGATGAGTCGGACACTTGAGAGTGAAACTTGGCAAAATGGACTCTGGTACCTAGACCGGGAGGGGATGGACTCAGCGTTGACATCTAGAGTAGAGACTGATGAAGTAGAAGAGTCTGGGAAGACTGTGGAGGATTGTTGTTACATCACAGAAGCATGAGACACTCTTATTTTATTTTATTGAGCCGGTTGTATCTTTTTTTGTATGAAAAGAACAAATAAACAAAAGCTTGTTTATGATGTTTTCGAGTTTGGCAAGATTACTAAGAGCTCTTATGTCAGTTCTGGGAATAGGAGTTCTGATGTTTTTTACTTGATTCATTATGATATTTGGGGACCAAGTTTTACCAGTTCTATAAATATTTATATCTATATTTTATCACATTTATTGATTTTTTTTTCTCGAATTACTTGGTTATATTTGATGAAAAATAAATGTAATGTGTTTTTTTGCTTTAAGGACATCAACAAGGCAATCCAAACTCAATATGGTGAAATAGTGAAAGTATTGAGGTCTAATAATGAAATATAATATACCAATAAAATATTTGGGGAAAACTTGTTAGCTTGGGGAATACAACATCAAACCAAATATCAAAGCACACCGACACAAAATAAAGTAGCAAAGAGGAAGAATAAACACCTTCTAGAGGTTGTCCGAAGCATGATGATCGCAATGAATGTCTCAAAGCACTTATAGGGGCAAACAGTTTTGAAAGTTGCTCAATTGATCAACAGAATGTCATTGAAGGTGTCAGATTAGAAGTCTCATCGTTAGATGTTAAAAGATGAAAATAGTGCGATCCTCTCATTGAAGGTGTTTGAATGTGTATGTATTGTGAAAGAAAACAGACCATCAGTAGAGAAACTGGATTCCAGAGCTGTGAAATGTGTGTTCGAAGGTTATTCTGCTACTCATAAGAGCTATGTCTGTTGCAGCCCGATAGAAAAAAGATTTTTTATGAGTATGAATATGTCATTTAGAGAGTTTGAATCGAACCACACCCAGGAAGTGAACTTACCCTTCAGTGACTCGCCAGATACTGAAAATATAATGTAAGGCGGAGTGAGTAACAATGGTGAGACGATGGTACACGTGGGAGAGCAATGCATTGTCTTGTGATGTGCAAGAAATCAGTTGAGGAACTGAAAAAATAGGAGAGTGAACTCAGAGATGGTGAGATTCAGCCTGAAGATGTATACACGAAAAAGGAAGCGAAATGAGATAAGAGTGCCACTTGTGCCAGCTAGTCCCTTGTCCCGATTTTTTTCGACTCTTGAAACACCTACACCATTCACCTACTACTCCAAACTCCCAAGTGATATGATTTCTCATTCCCTTAACCCGTCATCTTTAAGGACCTCTCGCAGCAATGCGGGACATCCTCCTGATCGTTTTGGGTAGGAACATGACAATATTAACTTTGTTTCATATTCTAACATATCATATTTACATAGAACATTCATTGCATTTTTGGACATTGTCTCTATAACCAAGTGTTTGTAGGTAAATCTTTACAGTGAAGCAAAACCCAAAAGAAAAGGTGGAGCAGTAGAAGACATGACTGGTGGCAAAAGGGTACAGTCAGACATATGTCATTGACTATGATGAAACTTTCACATCAGTAGCAAAGATGAGCCCAGTAAGGATACTTATTTCTCTTGCAGTAAATTGTGGATAAATGTTACACCAACTTGATATGAAGATTGAATTTCTTCATGATGAGTTCTTGGATGAAGTATATATAGAGATACCACCAAGATTCGATACAGTCCAGATAGTGGGCAAAGTGTGTAGGCTCAGAGAGTCACTGTATGACTTGAAGCGGAGATTCGATACAGTCCAGATAGTGGGCAAAGTGTGTTGCCCGAAGCATGATGATTGCAATGAATGTCTCAAAGTAGACTTGAAGCGGTCACCTTGAGCCTGATTTGAAAAGTTTAGAAAGACTACGACTGGTATGGGATATCAACAGACCATACAGTGTTCTTCTAACAGCTGGTCACACCACTAGTTGTATATGAGGATGATAGATTGTCCAACAAAAGGTAAGATTCAGTAATGAATTTGAGGTGAAGGATCTTGAACTACTCAGATATTTTCTTGAGAATGAAGTGGCCTGTGGACCTGAGGGGATGGTCTTATCCCAGAGAAAGTATGTATTAGATATTCCCACAGAAACGGACATGTTGGGGTGCAAACTTGTAGTCTCTCCAATTGACCAGATGGCCAAGTTGAGTGCAGAGGCAAGGGAACTGATTGATCGTCAGGGGTACCGAGGTTAGTGGGTCGTCTGATCTATCCGTGTCACACTTGACCCGACATCACTTTTGCAGTGAGCCTGGCGAGCCACTACATGAATAATCTAAGGAAGAGCAATATGGATGCAGTGCATCAAATTTGAGGTACTTGAGAGTACACTAGGGAAGGGGTTGATCTTCAAGAAGAATGTGCATGTAGACATTTAGGGCGGCTTTTGTGACCCTGAGTTGGCAAGTTGTGCAAATGACAGAATATTCACCTCCAATAAACATTCTATAGTAATGAGGTAAACAACAGAGGCAAAGTGCAAGGCCATGGCCTTAGGATTTGCTGAGATGATGTGGCTGAGAGCCTTGTTGATCGAGCTCATGGTGGACCAAAGAACTTAAATGAAGTCGTGGAGTGACAACAAGTCTGCAATTAGGTTTGCCAACAACCCGGTGCAACACGATAGAACCAGATATGTGGAGATTCATCAAGGAAAAACTGACTAACAGGCTATTGGGGCTAAGTCATGTAGCTAGAGAGCAAGTTGACAACAACCCGGTGCAACACGATAGAACCAGATATGTAAAGATTCATCAAGGAAAAACTGACTAACAGGCTACTGGGGCTAAGTCATGTAGCAAGAGAGCAAGTTGATGACTGCCTCACCAAAGGACTTGTTCATTAGATTTGTCTAGGTTATGTGACAAAATAAGTTACTGCCTCACTAAAGGACTTAGTTCATTAGATTTGTGTAGGTTATGTGACAAAATAAGTGTTAGTGGATATCTTGTGCCCCTCTTGAGGGGGAGTGTTAAGAATTGGATCTTATCTAGAATCCTATTGGTAAAATAGGCTTAGTAGTTTATTTGTAAGACATTGTAATACCCTATTTAAGCCCAGGATGTGAATATACAAATAAGATTTTGAACCATTCTTTCAACAAAACTATATAAGCATGTAGTTAGAAAATTTTTAAGAAAAGTTTCTTTGGTTCAGAATAGGATTTGGCATCATGCAAAATATAATATATATATATATATATA